AAATTTCTTTTTTTTTTGTTTTTTTTTTTTTTTTTTTTTTCCTCATTAAAAAATATTTTTTTATTGTTTAAGTGCTGATGATTTGGCAAGTGACTTTAGTCTTCAAGGAATCCCTGTTCAGTCATTACATGGTAATAGAGAGCAATGTGATAGGGAACAGGCACTGGATGATTTCAAGAAGGGTAAGATATACAGATTTTGAATGTAATGATTTTATGAATATTGTGAACTGTGAATATTTGTAATTTAAGCATTATATAGTATAACCCCTTCCTTCTGGCATAACGCACATATGCAGTATTGGGGTAGTGGGCACCCAGCGCTGAGACCAAGATGCCACTGACAGCTTCTTGTCATGTACTAACAATCGAGGGCTATAAGGAACGACTCCCAATCTTGTGATCACTGTGATAGTCAAACACTGTGATCAGTGGTTTTAGAACCCTCCCCTGCACTGTTTCTCCTCTGGGAGGGGAAGATACTATAAGGGCTGCAGCAATTAATCAATGATAATCGATAATGAGAATAGTTGTCAATGATCCTCATTATCAATTAATTGTGCTTCTTTCCTCCCTGCTGGGAACACATCTGGAACACCGACCCCTGCAGCCAGTGGCCAGTTGTCAGGAGAGCCTGCCCTGTCGCTGCTTCAGCTCTGCTTCCCTTCCTTCTCTCCACTTGGAACCTGCTACATGCTGCAGTCTGTGTCCCTTCTGATCCCCACTGCTCTCCCCCACCTGTATCAGTGGGGATCGGAGGGGACACAGACTGCTGCAGCCGGCACCCAGCAGGGAAGCGAGACCGCTGTCAGCCTGTGAATCCGTGCCCCCACTGCTCCCCTCTTGCCTCCTCTTCCGCTGGATGGGAGCAATAGCCAGCCTGCTCTTGGCTATTTGATATTGCAATAGCTAATAGCAGGCTGGCTATTGCACCCACCTACTCTCAACCTGCAGAAGAGGACCTGAAGGAGAACTTTCTCTCAGGTCCTTCCTTGACAGGAGACAGTGAGCGGGGTGCGATAGGCAGCCTGCTATTACATTTTGAAATGGCCACTAGCAGGCTGGCTATGGCTCCCAGCCACTAGCAGGCTGGCTATTGCTCCCAGCCACTAGCAGGCTGGCTATTGCTCCCAGCCACTAGCAGGCTGGCTATTGCTCCCAGCCACTAGCAGGCTGGCTATTGCTCCCAGCCACTATACATTCCCCAGCTAAAGCTATTGAAGTGGAAAGGTGACACAAACCGTGACACAAACCGTGTAAGTGTCAGTGTGTTTTAGGTATGATAAAAAAAAAAGGTTTTAAATTTAGTGTTCGTGGCAATGTTGGTGTCAACATGATTAGGTTGAATAAACAAAAAGAAACATGTGCACTATTTATTTTTTTTCCTGGCTCTACTTTGGGAACAAGCAACATTAATGTACACCTGTGGTGTTCCTATTCACATCAGAAGCAGTGATGTGTGGGGTGGGGGCTTGGTGCAAAGCCACCTGAGTTTGCCCAAGCCCACGCAAACTGTGACTGAGCCCTTTAGTCCCCTTTCTGACCCAATGAGTGCTGCAGGGGCATTACCTGGCCATGCCTGATTGGGCCAGGAGGGGGGTGTCAGTCACAGTTTTGCTTGGAGAAGCTCAGGCAAACTGGGTTCACACCAAGTCCCTGCACATCAGTATGAGTGAGTATTTATTTTTTTAGGTGGTTTACGCAAATGGCAAGACGACATGTATATAAAGCTAAAGTTTAAAAATTATATTTCTTAATCACACACACACACACACACACACACACACACCCTACTGAGCCTCTAGGAACCACACCACTACCCCGCACACCACTGCTGTTGCTGCTATACAAAGATGTCAGGAGCCATGCTGCACACGGCTGCCACCTGCCTCTACTGGCTTGCAGTAGCAGCGGTAATTGAACCTGTGTTCATGTATTTGGTTAAGGGCACCCTCTCATGGCTGCCATGAGTTTCAAGTGGGGTACAGTATAGCAGAGCACAGGCACAGAGTTGTGGCAGTATAGGTGCTATACAGAGCTAGACAATGGCTCAACTACCTTCTTGCCTCTGAAGAAGAAGCCTAAGGCTCTGGTTACCAAGTCTTCCACTCCCTCCCTATAGAAACGTTTGTTTCATCCTTCCCAAGCATCAACTTCTGCTCTTAGCTGTGAGCACACAGCATTTGTAATTTTGTAGCTCTTACCTCCCCGTCTGTCCACAGCACTCAGGGTATTCACCAAGGATGGAGCTTCATGTTCCTGCCTGGTCTGCTGTACACCTTCCAGGTGTGGAAACTTGGGAAACCTCTCATCCGCTACTGGCTCCCAGAGTGGTCCCTCCATCCGCAGGTCTTTTGGGCCCTTTTCATGGATTGGGGACACCGGATGTTGACCTACTGGCATTAACAACCAACTGAGCCGGTTTGTCACCAGGTACAGGTTCTAGCCTTCACGATTGATGCCTTGGTAACGATGTGGGATAGGTTCAGACTGATTTTATGTCTTCCCACCTTCAAAGCTGTTCCTTCACCTCCTTTGCTTGTTTGAGACAGGCATTCCAGTAATCATCATTACCGGGTTGGCACCTGAAAGGCATACTTGGCATGGTGCAAGGCCAGGATATTCCATCCTAGGAAGTACTACATGGGACATATCCTTTTCTTCCTTTCTGGACCAGCATTTAGCCTTGAGTACTATCAAGGGACAGACCTCTACCTAGGTGATCCTCTTTCAGAGGCTGAAGGCCTCTCACTGATTGGTGAAGGCCTTTGTAAAGGGGGTGGCACATGTTGTTTCCCCTGTGTGTGTTCCAGTGACTCAATAGGACCCCAGTCTGCCATTTGAACCAATCAGTTATTTATTCCCCTGCTTTCTCAGAGTGGCCTTTCTTGTAGCCATGACTTCTTCTGCTAGGCTTGTTTCTGAATTAGTAGCCTTGATGTGCAAGGAGTCCTTTATGTTTATCCATAGGTACAAAATCGTTCTAAGGCCTCTTTACTCCCTGTGGTTGTCCCTGTCTTCCACCTTAATTAGGACACTGTTGCCGTCCTTATGTCCTGCTCCGAAGAAACCTTGAGAATTTCCTACACTGTCTGGATGTCCTTCAGGCATTTAGTCTGTCTGCTGTTCTGCTATTTGCGAGTCTGACTCCCTGTGTGTTGTTCCTTAAGGGTTGCCACATGGGACAACTGGCTTCCTGTTCCATCACTGTTGGGTGGCTTTATCTGGCCATCCTGCAGGCCTGCAAGCTGAAATGAAAGACTCCTAGTGGAAGGCACATTCCACTAGGAGCATGAGTGCTTCTTGGGCTTTTATACACCAAGCTTCTGTCTACCAAAGCTGTAAGGTTGCCACCTCTTGTCATGTTCAGGCCTCTGCTAATGCCAGTTTTTGGCCAAAAGGTGCTTCAGGAAGCACTGAGACTTTGGGCTCTCCTCTGATACAGTTCTCTATTTCTAGTTTTGATTACCTGTTGGGGTTGTTTTTCTTGGTCCTGCTAACGTTTGTGTAGTTTGCAATGCTGGACTGTTTGAACTTCCCAGTGGTCTAACAATTTACTCCCTGTGTACTGTGGTATACAGTAAAAAAAAACAGAAATTCTCTGAAGGTGTTTGTAAAGCTAAACTATAAAAGTTCAGGACTACACTCCTGTGTCCCTCCTAGTAAACCTCTTTGTTCCTTTTCTGTATAGAAGCTTTTTTGTACACCTGTAAATACCTGGCTATTCTGCCAGTCTCCTACAGATTCAAAGGCTTCCAGTTTCCGCTGACCTTGCTAAGCATAGCATTAGATCTATGCAGCCGTGGTCAGAATACGTCCTTGGCTTTTCTCTGCAATCTACAGGGTGTCATGCTGATGCACGGCATGACTGTAGTTCCCTGGTCACAGGCTGACATGCTTGCTGGACAGCTCCTGGTAGAAGCCATGCTGTCAAAGCAGCTGAAATTTGTATACAAAGTGGGTGCATGGATATACATCCTTTTAAAAATAGGCCTTCTTACCCCTTGCCTGTGGTTTTACTGTTCCCTGGCAGCTGCAGGCAAAGTATGACAGCTGGGGTGAGTCAGCAGCCAGTCACAGCCTGAAGAAGAAGTCATGGTTGAATAAGCTTTACGTTGTGGTTAGCACCTCTGCCTTGCAGCACTCAAGGTCCTCGCTTCAGATCGCGGACAGGACACTCTGCAGAGAGTTTGCATGTTCTCCCTGCGCTTGCATGGGTAGTACATCACAGACACCAACCGCCACCCCCGTCTTATAGTCTTATAATTCCACTCTGTGCTATTGCTACAGAACTGAGTGTTTACATTGCTGCCCTGCAGCTTTGAATCTTTGCAAATGTACAGTTTCCTGAAGGAATTAACTCCGTGTCTTATCAAAATACTCAAAGAAAATAACTTTACAGCTAAGACAAAAATCTTTTTTGTTAAGATATGTACAGTTTTACATTGTTGCATAACTGGGTTCAAGTGTTAGGGTTTGTTTCTACTTTAGGTTATTACGGGGGTTAAAATAACCAATGCCAATGTGTGTGCCTTTTTTCATGTTTGTATGGTTTGCATTGCTCCTTTTTGTTTTATGTTTTTTTCCCAAGTCCACTGTAAACTACATATTGGTATTCTGTTCTGTGTCAAGTTTTCCTTCTCTCAACTCAGAGGAATACAGACCCTGTATGAAGTGGAAACCAGGTGTAGAAAATCAATACTCTACTCTTCTTTCCTATATCTTCCTGAGCTAGCTGCCAACTGAGGATCTCTGAGTCTGAAAACATATTTTCTTTCTAGCTGTACATGGGTGTTGTTTCCCTGTCCAAGTAACTAGTTTTTTTTATTTATTTTAGGTGCAGTGAGAATTTTAGTAGCTACTGATTTAGCATCTCGTGGACTAGATGTACAAGACATTACACATGTTTTAAACTTCGATTTTCCTCGCAACATTGAAGAATATGTGCACAGAGTTGGTCGTACTGGGAGAGCTGGGTTAGTAGACATTTGATAAATAGTCATATTGGCACAAATAGCCTACCAATGTTTGGAATCTTTGCCATGCTTAAATATGATTTGAATTTTTTTTTTTCACTCTAGACGATCGGGGGAATCTGTTACCTTGGTGACCAGGAAAGACTGGAGGGTTGCAGGAGAACTGATTAGTATTTTGGAACGTGCAAACCAAGTAAGAGAGCAGAGTTGGTATTAGGTGTGCTTTAGTCTTTAACATGACACATTTATTTTTCATTTTGAATTTTTAAACATTACAACCAAGGATAAGTACAAAAGGAAGCTATGTCATCAAGTAAAAATGAGGCTAGTGTAACAAAGTAGACAAGTATGGTATCTATTATTGCAATTAAATGTAATAATGTGATATACCACAATACAATTCAAATATGTAAGATTCCAATCTTATATGGACAGAATTAGAAGTGGAAAGGGGAATGAATAAATCAGAAAGGTAGTCCCAAGCATGAGCATTCCATCTATAAGCAATCCGTCTGTCATGTTTGCAATGGGAAGAGATCTTATGGAGGACTTCTGGTATAGAAGGAATATTTAGCAATCGCTAATTGTTTGCAATATGAAGTCTAGCTGAGAATAAGATCTGCATAATAACGGATCTAAACTTAGGTGGGTATTTATCTACAGAAATGCTCAATAGGGCCAACGCAGGGGAGGATTTGACAAAGATACCTGTAAAGGTGGCCATCAGGGGTCTAATAGACCCATGATGTCTCCATGAATGGGACCGGTCACTTCCTCTTTGCTACCAAATAGGGGGCTCTACACCAATTCCATCATTCAGTTTTGTCTGTGTGTTCCTTACAGAGAGGATGTGGAGTTTTAGATAAAAGAGAATAGTTGCATATTAGAATAAAACTGGAATGATGTTACTACCTTACAGTTTGCAGTGCTGATTCCTGGGATGTGGTTATGGCGTGATTTTGGTCTTGCTTTCATTGCACTTTCATCTTAGGAAGTTCCAGAAGAGCTGCTTGAAATGGCAGAGAGGTATGAACACTTTAAGAAGAAGAAAGAAAGTGAGCGAGACATGGTGCCCCGTAAAGGCCGATGGCGAGACGGTTAATCTGGATGTATGATTTAATATTTCTAGTCTGTTTTATTAAGGTAATATATGACTTAACTGGAAAAAAATGCTGACTGTTGTAGTTTGATTTTTAAAACTTGTAAGTTTAAGGCCGTTTATATTGTAAGCAAATCGGAGATCCAAACTGAGCTTTGTTTTGTGGTTCTACTGGACTACTACATACAGTGCTGAATGCCCTGTAATAAATATGAGGGAAGCTGCTTTTACCAGATTTACAGAACCTTGTATAGGATTTGTATGCATGTTTAGCTGCAGAGTTTTTTTGTTTTTTTTTTTAATTTTCAACTGCTAATAACATACTTCCTGTCCTAGGGTGGCTCACTCACGTCTCTACTGTATCTATGGAGGAGCCATGATTTGTCACATTCGGCGGTTCCCCCAATTTGGACTATAAACACGTCTTCCTTTCTTCATCTCCATTACATGGTGGGTGGGGGGAGGGAAGTTTACAAAATATGGTTTGGAAGGAAGATAAAATTGTTTGTGCTTTCAATTAAATTCACAGAAAGTTACAAGATCATTATTTCTCATCCATAGAGGGAATTCAGAGACTTATCCTCAGGAGAATCGGACACTGGCAAACAAAATATTTGTGGCCAGCGCAGTATAATCCTCTCCTACTCAGTGTCTTAGGAGAATTGACGTCCTTTTTTTTTTTTTTTTTTTTTTTTTGAAGAACCCAACCTTTTTTTTTAGGTATTTTTT